CGTAACGGTTTGATGGTTCTTTAATTATAACATTTCCTTTTAATACCGATTATGCTAATTAAGTTTTCTATGACGGTTCGCGGAAGTTTGTTTGCACTAATACGTAAGTATAAAATATAATTGATGGAAAAAACGTCAACTGCCGCCGAACATGTGTATTAGGGTGTGTGCATCCCTAGTCTTGGCTTTCGGTTAATTTGATATAAATATTTCCAAAAATTTTTTCCAACAAACAAATAAAATCGTTTTCAATATCATCTTTACAGCTAAACGATAACCCGAATACAAACTGGTTTTATAAAAAAGGAAGTTTGTCAATTTCAATCCTTCATATCTTAACAGAAATAATTGCGACGATGAAGAGACAACTAAAATTAACACGCAGTAACACAACAGCCATTATCACATGGGAAGATATACGCAGTTTACGGCGTCTATTTTACATGCCAATCTCTCCTTATCGTTATTATTATTATCTGTTATACCGGTCAAAAATTCCGTGAACCGGGTTAACCGTTTCACAATTGGTCTATTGAATGCCAATTTTGGCGGGCCTTAGTTCATCCCAAACTTTATTGTATTCCCGATAACGGACCTAAATATAGCCGATCAGTTGTCATTGGGTGGCCTTTGACTTTTTACATTACTAATCGCACACAAACGCAATGTACTCAAATAACGGTGGTTTGAATGCAATCCATAACCCAATATTTAACCCATCGATTTTCATCGCCCAGACAAATCTCACTACCTAGGTTCATTCCTCGATCAGTTCGTTTGTCACCAATTAAAATGCCCAATAAGATTGCTCTTCTTGAAGAAGCCGAAAAGCGTGTCCTCCGGGATGTGAAAACGCCCTTGAAAACTCATATGGTTAAAATTCCAAGGAATTTTCTCGAAACCAAGGATATTAGCAGTCCAAAGAACAAGAATGGGAAAACATGGGACATCAGTACTATTTCTTTCACAAATTTGGAGAAGGAAAAGCCCATTTGCGTACTTGTACATGGATGTGAGTTTAGAATATGTGAATTGTAATGTACATTATAGCATGTATATCTAACAGATTTGCCTCAATTCCATGATATCTTGTGATCAGGGGGTGCCGGTGAGTATTATTTAAGTTCGTGTTGTTAGTAGACTTTTCTTCGTTTTGATTACTTACCTCTATTAATAACTGTTCGTCAAACAGGTAAAGGAATATACGTTCAGTCATTTGATGATCTAGCCTCTGTCTATGAAGTCCATGCGATAGATTTACTGGGATGGGGCAGAAGCTCAAGGCCATGCTATAAATATGGCGATGATCCATCAAAAGTGCAGAGATGGTGGGTCGAGAGTTTGGAAGCGTGGAGAGTGGCAATGGGAATAGAAAAGTTTACGCTTGTCGGACATTCTATGGGAGGGTAAGTCGTCTGATCAGTTTGCTAAAAGTTGCATATGTTTTTAGTCATGATGTGATCTAATGGAATTTATGTTTTGTAAAGATTTGTTGCAGCATCATATGCGCTAAAATATAAACAGCATCTTGACAAGCTCGTTCTTGTATCCCCAATAGGTAAGTTACAATCAGCGAGTTTATTTCATGTCGCTATTCTTCTAACGACAATTTCCCTACTTGCGCACAATAAAAGGTCTCCAAGGTTTCCGAACTCCAGACTTTTCAATTTCTTTCGCACAATCCATACTCATATCTTCGGTATGGTCGCTTACGCCTCAGCGCATAGTCAGCATGCTGCCACGTAAACGCACAATCAGTTATTTATCCAGACAAAGAGTTGATCTGCTGGAAGCATTTCCGTATACAGATAGAACCATTATGCATTACTTTTATTATCTCGCGGTACAGTCGCCTATATCCGGCGAAGCCGCATTCAAACGGTTAGGAACACCGTTCAAAGGATGGCATTTACCGCTAAAAGATGAGTTACATAATCTTGGTGATTTACCAGTTGTGTTGATGTACGGTGAGGATGACTGGATGGATCCGTCGTTTGCCGTGTATGAGCTGAAAGCAAAAATCTTACCCCAAGCTAAAGGTAAGAAATAATGATGGTCACGAAAGGCAAAACTAAATTTTGTGTTAGTGACTAACTGACGGTTGATTATTTATCTCGTTTCTTAGTGTATATATTACCTGATTCTGGCCACCATCTATATGCAGAGAAATGGATGGAATTTAATGAGATTGTGATTAATGGAGAAAAGGCATATCCTGGTTGCTGGATTAGAGAATTTAATCCTGCTGTAGATCCGCTCAAGAAACGTGTTTTCAGCGTTGCATAATATCCCCCTTTATCTTTTTCTAATTAATTATTTGTATCTATGTAAGTATTGTGAACTAGACATTTTTAGAATAAATGACGGGTGGGAGAGAGATCAAATA